GATGAGGACCTGACTGCCTCGCGCATCCTTCCAGCGAGCCATAAGGAATGCACAGAGAGGTCTGATCATGCAGTTCAGAGAATGTGTCCAGGAAGATCCCCGTTTTGAAAAAGGACGGGCTCTGTTTGTGTAACTCTGGCACACTGTTTCCCTTCTGGCAGCTGTGCTCGAATTCCGAGTCTCACGTCTTAGAAAGTGTCAGGTGAACGCCCAGCTTACCAAAGGAATCGCTGCTGTTGCATCTGTTCAAGTTTCTTGCTTTAGTAAATCAAAAAAACGAATTTCAAGCCAACGCTCCATTTTGAAAACGAGCCGCCCACAACCCTTATAAACACCAAACGCTTTTGGACTCTCTTTGCGCAGCGCGAAGGCGAGAACTCTATGTTTAGGAGTGCCACCCCTCCACCCTGGAAGCGGCTGCAACATTTTAAGACGAATGCGTGCGGCGCTATGACGGGAGCTCCATGTTGGAAACGGAACCCTGCATCTTCCAGGCTCTTGCAAACGTCAAGACGACTGCGCGCGGCGTAGCAGCAAGAGTTACAGTTTGAAGCCGCTCCGCCCTTTACACTGGACGATGTCGCAGATTCCAAGCTTCACGACCAGAAACACAGAGGAGGTATAACACGAAACGCCTGGCCCGCCCTACCGCACGTCTGGGGGTGCGACAGGGAGGAGTTACTTATGAGGAGCATGGATGGGGGAGGACGAGGAGAATGGGGGAGAGAGGATTAGGAGGGGGAGGATCAACAGGGGAATGAGAGGAGCATGGGGGGAGGAAAAGGAGGAGGAAAAGGGGGAGGAGGAGGAGGAGGAGGAGGAGGAGGAGGGACGTGAGGGAGGAACATGAGGACCTCATGTGATCCAGGTCTTCTTCTGCCTCGTCAATGTATTTCCCAATGGCTTGCAGTTTGATTGTCCGAAGTTCGCTTGAGACGATCGGTTGAGAGAGATTGGCCAACAGCTGCGGCGCATTATTGGGACCTTCCAGAGGGGCAACGAGTACGGCAGGTTCGCGGACCTGACTACGGTGATTACTTATGTGTTAGAGGCTGGGTGGTCTCCTAACTCACTAGCATGTTGAGACGTGCCCAATGTGGGCACCGCGGGTACACACACCTGACAATTCCATGGCCGTGATTTCCAGCCGTTGGATCAGGCTACCCCTCTCTTGAACGAGCTTCAGACCACTCGAGATCAAGCAGTGGAAGGACGCATCGAAACTTGTTCTGCGGTGCAGAACTCGAGAATGGAGTTGACGTGCAGTCTCGAGGAGGAATGGCGCCAGATTTGCTGCAGACCCGTAAAGCTCGCCGGCTCTCAGAACTAGTCGTGCCGCTGGCGGTTGGCGGGTTTGGGACCAACGAGCGCTGGCAGCAGGCGCGATTCCGAGGCAATGATTTATGCGATCGGTGTGTATTGGAGAAAGAGAGTGACTAGCATCTGTGTTGGACGTGTCCAAAACACAGACGCACGTGCTTCTTCTGCGTCTTGCCTAGCGACCTCCTTACCCACGCCATTGCTGAATCAGAGGCTTTTCCCTGCTTTTGGATGTGTGGTTTAACTCCCGCTCCCTGGACTCAGGTCCTTCCCCCGCCTCCGGTCGGAAAGATCTCGGTGTGCCCTTTAGTCGAGGGGGCTCTGTAGCCTGGCTGTCTTGGGGTGGGACTCTCAAGAGCCTCTGGTGGTTTCTGGGGGCGCTGCTGGAGGTCACCATACCCACGACACTCGCTCACGCCGCGTGAGTCTCGCTGTGGCCACGTTTGCAGGTCTTGCGTCCATCGTCCTCGGGGCTCACATGTTGGGTCCCCTCCCTGGACCCATCGAGAGTGTTCCTTGAGGGGAACTGCGAGCGCTCTAATGGGCACTGCGTTTCTCTCGGCTTTCTGGGATATATCACTGACTGTGCAGAGGTTGCTCGAGGGTGGTCTTCCGAGAATCCTCGCAGACCTGAGGGACCTCAAGCCGACATCTGGCATGAGATCGGCCGTCTTTGAATGTAGCACGGCCAGCACCCATCCAGCATAGTCCTCATGCAAGTGCCCTGACGTTTGTCGGGGGCGGATGCTGCTCGTAGGGAGATTCCGAGCTGGCGCAAATTCCCCAGGCAGGTCGTCATCAGGTGCTCCTCATCGAAAACAGAGCCCGTCTTGCGCGGAGGAGGCTCCTTCGAGTAGGGCTCGCTTCCACTCGGGCCTCGCAGGTGTCCGGAGGAGAGGAGTGCTGGAGCCTCTCGCAGGGCGGTGGCTCCTCCTCCGCCTCGTGCTGGGGCTACCGCACGTCTCGCGTCCGCATATCTCCCGACTGGTCACTGTAGGGCGTGCAGCGCGTGTAGAGACACTGCGACTGAGGCGGCGTTGTCTGGATGGCTCCAAAAAGCCAGTGCTTCCAGCTGCTGCGCGTGGGCGGCCGTGTTTCCGAGAGGACATCGTCTACACTCTACACTGGTAGTTGAACCCATCCCTTGCACGCCCTTCACTGCAATCAGGGCTTTAAACTTTGATTTTGCAGCACGTGTGGTTTCTGAGATCAGGCTCGGCTCAGGGGCCTTGGGGAACCATGCGAGCTTACGATGTTTGAGGCCAGGCAAGAATGCCTTGATAGGATTTCTCATGGCCTGTTTCCGAAATTCTGAGCTTAGCCTGGTTATCACTACGTGATGGCGGGCGGAAGTCCTGGAAGTCCTCCTCCCCCCTCCCTGCTCCCCGTCCCTTCCCTCTCCCCCTCTTCCTTCCCCCTTCTCATCCTCCACTTCTGGCCCTCCTCTCCCTTCTCCCCACCGTCCTTTCCCCTCGCCCTGGCCAGCTCCGATCCCCCCCTCCTCCATCTGAAAAGCTCTGCCCCGTCGCGCCACCAGGCGTGCCGTCAGGAGGGCGGGGCATCTCGCTCGAGACTCCACCACTGCCTGCGGAAGCTCAGGATCTCCTACACCTTCACCTCGCCATCGCTCGGACGTCCATTCCCTGTTTTTTTTTCCGGTTTCGTGCGTGTTTTTTCCGCCACATGATCAAGGATGCTCCTCGATGGTCCTCGCCGAAGGAAACATGCACACGTCCGAGCGATGCCAAGTCGCACGGAGGGAGGGGCGGCTCCCTTTCTTCGAGCGCGGGCTGCCACCTGAGGCTTCTTCCGCCTGCACGCCGAGGGATGGACGTGGACGAGGCGGCTCCGGTTCAAACTCGGGCTGCCACCCGAGCCCGACCAAGCCTTTCAGAAGGAAGGGCTTGCCCCGGACGGCGCGGAGCCGTAGGAAAGGCCCCTGCTGGAGCCCACCAGACCAGGGGGAAGTGGATCCTGACCTCTCACTCCACGGGTGTGCAAGCGCGCCGCGGTTGGCACGGATGGAGGGCGGCTCCCTTTCGACACGAGGCTCTCGCCGTGTGATGACGAGCCATCAGCACGCACCCATACCCAGTGGGCGGACGGAGTGAGCTGTGGGCGCGTGTTGTCGGATAGGGGGTCCCCGCTGGAACGGGAGCCTCCCCAGGGGTCCGACAATCCGCATCCATACCCATAGCCAGTCCTTCTCCCTCCGACCTCCCTATGGGTATGTGTGTGTGTGCGTGTGTGTGTGTGTGTGTGTGTGTGTGTGCGTGTGTGTGTGTGTGTGTGTGTGTGTGCGTTTCGTTCGTCACTCGGACCAGAGCTATCTCTCTGTTCGTGCAACAGAGTGCACCGACGGAGGGCGGTCCCTTCTCACCGCGAGGCCGTCGCAGGGCCCCCCGCTGGACGGTAGCTGCCCCCCGGCCCGTCGCCCTCCTGCGGGCTCGAGGAGGAGGAGGGCCCTCTTCCAAACTGAAGGGGCCCTGGGACACACACATCAATAAACACAAATAACAAGATTCCCCATCTTTTCCCATATTTTCGGGGTTTTTGTCTTCCCCCCTACTTCCCATAGTTTCCAATATTTTCTGGGGACTCGACGATTCATTGTGTCTGCGTGTTTCTTCTCCTCCTGAAAAACAAAGCTCGCGCCTGATTTTTGCGGGCCCAAGAGGCGTTCGTCTTTCCACGAAGCGCCTCGCGCGGAGGGACTGCGCGAGTTGAAAAGGGTGCTCGTATGGAAGGCATGCCTGTACGCGTTCGGGGGCCTTCGCAGTGATACAAAGGCTTGTGCGCACTTCTGACGGAGTGGCGGGAGGGTGTATTCCAGCATCATTGATCTATCTTGGTTTTACTCTGAAGCTCCTCTGGGGAACGTCCCCTCCCCCTCCTCTTTGTGCTGCCCTCCTTATCCTCCTCCGATGTCTCTCTCTCTCTCTCTTTCTTTCCCTCTCCCTCTAGTTATCCTTTTTTGTTTTTTTTTGTCTCTCTCTCTCTCTCTCTCCCTCTCTCTCTCTCTCTCCTCGATCCCGGATCCGTGAGAGTGGCCAGAAAAAAAGGCAGGTTAGGCATGTTAAAGGCCTTCCAACTGGCTCCACCGCTCACCTGCCCCCTCCCCCGTGCTGCCGTCGAGAGCTCACACCTCACGCCTCGCACCTCTCGGCGGTGGACACGCCTCCCTTGAGCAAACCACCTTTCAGTGAAAACGGCCTAGGACCGAAAGCGACGGCCCTGGACCCGCAGAAGTGACGGCCGTGACGCCCTCTCGCGAACCGAAAGCGCCCGATTCGCTGATCGACGTGTCAGGGTAGGAGGTCTATCAACCTCCGAACCTCCTCCCCCGTGGCTGCGGCCGAGAGAGCTCCGACGGGGCGCCCCCGTCGCCTCTCGCGCGCCAGATTTTTGCACGCTCTCTGCACGCCTCGCGGAGCGCGCGCGCGGCCACGCCCCCGCAGTGCCCCGTGCGCGACTGCGTGGGCCAAACGGGAGAAGGCGAGCGCTTTGCTCGGGCGTGTTCCCCCTACAGGCGGATTTGGGAGGACAATTTCTCACTAGTCAAAAAATACGGAAAAATAGTAAACCAATCATCCCTCGACTTTTTTATATACTTTTGGATCGTTCTTTTTTCGTATATTCCTCCTGTAGAGGGACGTGCCCGATTTAACATGTGGCCGACAAACAGAAAAAATATGGTGTGGGGGGGGGTCCGGGTCTGGGCCGGTGTTTAGTCGATCTGCTTCTGCCAGGCGCGCTCGCAGACTTGGGGAGAGGGGCCCTGACCGGTCCCCAGAAACCAGCCGCCACAAGCAGCCAAGATCACGTCCATGAGTGGGGGGGGGGGGGGAAATGGGGGGGGCGGGGGCCCGCGCCGATCGGCGACACAAGAAGCAACAAAGCAGCTACAGGCTCCTCCGCCCCGCTTCGCGCCGCTTCGCTGCAGCGGGCCGCGCGCCATTGCCGCGCGCCCCCAACTAGACGAGCGCTCTCCGCTACTCGCAGAGGAACTTCTCGCAAGTGGCCTGGATCCGCTGCGGGGGATCTACGATCTACTGCATCGAGGCGAGCAAATGTTCGAGCACGTTTGCGAGTAGGCGCCCTGCGAGCGGTGGAGCGCGCTCGGTGTCCAACACTTTTTGAGTCAGCAGGCGGCGCCCCCCCGCCCCCAACACTCTTTTTCCGGCGGGGGCGAGGCAGAGGCAGTCCGCACCAGCGTGGGGCTAATCCGCGATGGACAGAACCCCCTTTAGTATAGTAGAACGTGGCTCAGGGACAACGGCCTCGGGCCCAAAGCTGGCTGGCGGGCGCAGGCCTGGAATATGACGGCCGCGGCGCCCTCTCGAGAACCTTTCTTTGGAGCTCAACGCCCGCACGGCCTTGGCGACAAAAGACACAGCAGCGGCGGCTGGGAAACCACTGCTGGGCCCTCTCGAGAACCGCGCCCCCGGCACACAAACAGGCACCGACCCGCCGCGGCCAGGGCGCCGTGCGGCAGGGCCGCCGGCGCGGGGCGGCGCCAGCCGCCCGGCGGCTGCGAGCGCCTCGCACCTCGGAGAGGCGGCCCTCGCTGCGCCGTGAGCATCGTTGAACCTCCTCCCTGGCCTCCTCCCTCCTCCTCCTCATCCTGCTCCTCCTCCTCCTCCTCCTCCCTCCTCCTCCTCCTCCTCCTCCTCCTCCCTCCTCCTCCTCCCTCCTCCCTCCTCCCTCCTCCCTCCTCCCTCCTCCCTCCTTCCCTCCTCCCTCCTCCTCCCTCCTCCTCCTCCTCCTCCTCCTCCTCCTCCTCCTTCTCCTCCTGGGCGCCCATGCCTCCGACGACTGGGTCATCTCGAGTCGCTGGCCCCCAGGAGCCCGCGACACGCCTCTCCGATGGGGCCAACTTTTGTCGCCGCTCACAGCTGGGCATCGTTGAACCGGCCCATATCTCCATGGGCGTGGCCTGCGCCCCACTGGCCGATTTACCCCTCCCAGATGGGGAGATAGCCTGTTTCTCCTGGGTTCGAGGGGTATATCTTCCTTCGGGTTCGAGGGGTAGATCCCCAAGTGGGGTGCTGAGATGGTGAGGTCTGGATGGGGATGGGGATGGGGATGGGCATAGGGGTCGGTTAAACGATACTGACCTTGCTCTCCTCCCCCATCCCTGAAGCCTGTGGCTGGGACTGGTCGCCGCCGCCGAAGAGGCCGAGCACGCCCTGGAGGACCCACAAGGCCAGGAGCCTCGCCAAGGCAGGGGGCGGGCCCCAACAGAGGGTGGGAGGCAGGAGGGTGGGAGGCTGGGAGGAGGAGGGGAGGAGGAGGAGGAGGAGGAGGAGGGTGGAGGAGGAGGAGGAGGAGGAGGAGGAGGAGGAGGAGGAGGTGGAGGAGGAGAGGAGGAGGAGGAGGAGGAGGAAGGAGGAGGGAGGAGGAGGAGGAGGAGGAGGAGGGAGGAGGAGGAGGAGACAGAGGCGCACGGAGAACGGAGGAGAGAGGAGGGAGGAGGGAGGAGGAGGAGGGGAGGAGGGAGGAGGAGGAAGGAGGAGGGAGGATGGGAGGAGGAGGAGGACGGGAGGAGGGAGGAGGGAGGAGGGAGGAGGGAGGAGGGAGGAGGGAGGGAGGAGGGAGGAGGAGGAGGAGGAGGGAGGAGGAGGAGGAGGAGGAGGAGGAGGAGGAGGAGGAGGAGGAGGAGGGAGGAGGAGGAGGGAGGAGGAGGAGGAGGAGGAGGAGGAGGAGGAGGAGGAGGAGGAGGAGGAGGAGGAGGAGGAGGAGGAGGAGGAGGAGGAGGAGGAGGAGGAGGAGGGGAGGAGGAGGAGGAGGAGGAGGAGGAGGAGGAGGAGGAGGAGGAGGAGGAGGAGGAGGAGGAGGAGGAGGAGGGAGGAGGAGGAGGAGGAGGAGGAGGAGGAGGAGGGAGGAGGAGGAGGAGGAGGAGGAGGAGGAGGAGGAGGAGGGAGGGGAGCAGGGAGGAGGAGGAGGAGGAGGAGGAGGAGGAGAGGAGGAGGAGGAGGAGGAGGAGGAGGAGGAGGAGGAGGAGGAGGAGGAGGAGGAGGAGGAGGAGGAGGAGGAGGAGGAGGAGGAGGAGGAGGAGGAGGAGGAGGAGGAGGAGGAGGAGGAGGAGGAGGAGGAGGAGGAGGAGGAGGAGGAGGAGGAGGAGGAGGCAACGCAGCGAGCCAAGTGAGTGAGCCGAGACGCTGCCGGCCCTCTCTGCGCCCCCAAGCGCCTCCAGGGGCCTCGGGGGAGCCCTCCACGGGCTGGGCCCGGAGGAGGCAGAGCACCGGGGGGCCCAGAGGAGGAAGGGCGGACGGGGCTCCAGGGCGGTGGGGAAGGCGGGTCGAAAGGGGGGAAGAGAAGGAAGGGGGCGGGACGGGAAGGGGAGGAGAGGGCAGAGCCAGGGGGGGGGTGTTCGCCCAGGAGGGAGCGGGGCGCCAGGCCTGCCAGGTCCTGTGCGCCCCGCCAGCGCCGGGCCCCCGATGCGGCTCCCAGGCGTCTCCCGAGGGTGGCCTCGCCTCGCCTCGCATCGCAGCAGCCCGCGCCCGCCCCTCCCCCCCCCCAAAACGGGCCTCGGGGAGGGGCGAGGGGCTCCCAGACCTCGAGGGGAGAGAAGGAGGGAGGGGAGGGGAGGGGGGGGAGGGCGTCTTGTTTCGGCCCACTGGAGGCTATTTTCTGGTGCTCGGGCAACTTCAAGCATGCCAGCCAAAGTCCCTGTGGTTCTAGAGCTTGTGGGGACCCCGCGGCGACGCGAGGTCTGGGTCAGGTGGCAATTGTTTGGAGGTCTTCGCGGGTGCAACTTGGAACTGCCAGACCAAGATGGATTAGTACCGCATTACGCCAGATTCGGTTGGATGGGTCCAGATGGTGCTGTAGGAAATACCAATGTATCAGGACCGATGACCAATTCAACTTCCCATGCATTGCATCCATCGGCGAAGGATGGAAGGAAATAGAGGGAGAACGACAGAGAGAGAGAGAGAGAGAGAGCGAGCGAGCAAGGGAGAGAGAGGGAGATAGATAACGACCTACATCCATATATACATCTACATAGATCGAGAGAGGGAGAGAGAGAGAGAGAGAGAGAGAAAAAAAAGAGAGAGAGAGGGGGGCAGCTGCACTTTCTAAGTCTAGACCGCCGAGGGCCATGGACAAATGCTTGATGGTGCCTCTCCCTCTCTTCCCGTCTTTTTTGTATGTTTCTCTCGGTCTACGCGACCCATACTTTTCAAGGAACGCCGCTGCCACACATCTGGACTACTGGCACTACGCTGACGGCCGATTTCTCGAGCACCTGCGTTACCAGCCCTGCCACATACACGTGGGATTGCCTGTCTGCGCGCTTTCAGTATGACGGGAGAAAGGATGTTATACAAGTCTCTCATGTCTGTGCGAGAGATTGAAAACAGAAAATGTATAGAGAGAGAAAGAGATAAATAGAGAGAGAGAGAGAGAGGAGGGGAGGGAGATGCAGAACGAGGGAGATAGACTCCACTCGCACTCACCGCCCAGCAACTCGACCACAAGCAGCCGGCTGCTCCAGACGAGTACCTACGGGGAGCCACACCATGAGGCGCACATCACCGGTATCCGCTGTCGCGCGCTCAGCAGAACTGCTCCTGCAGGACGCGGAGCATCGAGCTGGGCGTCGCCCCCACCTGCGAACGCGCCTCCTGCAAAACGGACACGAACTCGGCCCACTCTTTCCACTCGTCCGCGCTCTGCGCGCCCCTGGTAGGGCATCCAGCGAGCAGCGTTGCCTGCAGGCGGAGCATCTCGCTGAACTCCGCCGTGTCACAGTAGAGCAGGGCTGGGTCTTCCGGGTGCGGCTCCTGGGCCAGATTTGAGAAAAACTGCTTCTTCGTGTCTGGTAGCGAGTTCACTATATCCTGCCAGTCGTGCTCTACAATCGTCACTTGGATCTCAGAGCGGCTGGGAATAACTGACAAGACATTGACGTCGGCATTTCCACACTGTAGACGGAGGCGCGATACGTGCATTGCCCGCGAGACGTACGTCTCCAAATGCTCGGCGACCAATGATTGCACTACCGCGGCGGTCGCGTCCGAATCAACTTCTGCGAGCGTGAATGTGTATCCCCGCAAATCTTCGGGACCCTCCACAACTTTGACGGCATAGCTGCACACGGCCCATAGAGAGGACTGCGCTTGTTGAGAATACGTCTCTTGCTCTGGCCCCGTTTGCGCAGCTCCTTGCGAACCTCCCAGATCCTCTGCACCTGTGACGGTGGAACCTCTGTCGTAATGAACAGAGTGCTGCCCCTCTGGCATCCATTGGGGCATTGCCTGAATCAAATTCCGCATATCGATGTTTGGAGTCAGTATCGTGCTCTCAAGGGTCTCGTTGGTCCTCGGGCTGGTGCACTTACCTCTCGCGAACCAGCGCGTGATGCAGGCGCGATGATAGGTGAAGCCGTCCCTGGCCACGACGGGGTCCTCGCTCATGATCTCCTCTTGGCGGCGCGCACAGGGGGGGCTCGAGGAGGATCGAGAATCGAGGATCGAGGAGGATCGAGGATCGAGGAGGATCGAGGAGGACCGAGCATCGAGGAGGATCGAGGAGGATCGAGGAGGATCGAGGAGGACCGAGGATCGAGGAGGACCGAGGATCGAGGAGGATCGAGGATCGAGGGTCGAGGAGGATCGAGGATCGAGGAGGGGCGAGGATCGAGGATCGAGGAGGGGCGCGTGGGGCGGCCTCCTGCGAAGGGCAGCGGGCTGCTCCGCCTCCGGAGGTGTGGAGGTGTGGACCCCACACGTGGAGCCCCCCGAGGAGTGGACCCCTCCCCGGGGACCAGCTCCCTCCTCCCGAGTCGTTACTCTGGAGGTCGAAAAGGGGTGTGGCATCAAGGGGTAGGGTGCCAATCGTGGAGATGGCGATGCTATCTGCGATAAGTAACAGCGCCAGCCTCCCCTTGACATAAGATTAGCACCACACCCCTTTTAAAATTAGCACCACGCCCGTAAACCGTATACATACATATATATATATATATATATATATATGTATGTATGTATGTATATATATATATGTATAAAAAAAAGTTTATACCCCATTCCTACCTCCAGAGTTACACTGGGCGGCCCTCTGGCGCCCGGGGGCCCGAGACGGCCAACACTTCCTCCGCCCTGCCTCGTTGCTGGCAAGACCCGGTGGGGCCTGTCGGGGGCGCGCAAACATGGACTCGCGATCCGTGGATTTGGAGCGCGGTCGCCACATCCATGGATCGGGCGAGGTGCCCTCCCCGAAATGCGGCCGGTGCCGCCTCGCCCGGCGGCGGGAATTGGATCCACGCCCCCCCTGATCCATGTTGGCGATCGCCCGAGTTTGGGCCCCGCACGTCTTGGGGGCCTCCGATCCCTTCCGGGAACGCCCTGCCTTCCTCTTCGAAGGCGACCCCCTCGCCTCGCCGCAAGCCAACATTCTCCAAACTGGCCCCCGGACCCCCGCCGCCGCCCCTCCCGACGTGTCTGCCAAGCTGCACCCCCAGGCCCCAGGGGCTGAAACGGCACAAGAAGACGTCAGACGAAGCCCTGCGCGTGCTCCTTGCAGATGGAGCAGAACACCTCGTGCGGAATCTCGGGCGCCCCGGCGGCCATCCCGCACAGCGTACTACGCCGCGAAGGAGCGGGCCGGTGCGAGACTTGGACAGCAGGCCCTCGCCACACCCACCAATCCAGCGCAAGACGAGGGCAAGACACGACGAAAACGAGGACCCGAGGAAAGACGAGGGAGAGGGGGAGGAGTCTCCGGATGACGAGCATGAAGATGAGGATCCCCCAACGAACTGCCAATACAGAAATCAAGAATGAAACTGGCCCTGGGCCCCGTGGCTTTCCCAAAGACCGGTTTTGGATCAGGTTCTTTTTTTAAACGTCCGTGTAACGACGTTGTACAACATTTGTTCCCCACCACGATTTTGAACTAGGGGTCCTTACTTGTTTCTGAAGAGCTGGTGGGTGCGAGGCGCGGCCGTCGCCGGGCTCCCCCGGGGGCCTTCGATCGTGCTTCCCTGCAGTGGGGTTCCCTGGGGTTCCTTGGCCTTGTCGCCTTACTGCTTTTAAGCAGCTCGGGATCCCCGGATTCCTTGGTCCTGTTGCTGCCCTACGAGGGCTTGCCCTGGGTTTTTTGGTATCGTTTCCATGCTACTTTTGGAAGGTCGGCCTTGCTCGGGTTTGCTGGGTTCCCTGGGCTTCCTGGTTGTATTCCCCTGTGTTTCAAGAGGCATTCAGTGAGTTGCCAATCAATGCCAAGCAACACAATGGCATGCCAAGCAATGCCAAACGATGCCATGCAATACAATGCAATGCCAAACTACGCGAAGCAGTGACAAAAACAACTCAAACCAATGTCAATCAAAACAACACATTGCAAACCAATGCCTTCCTTACTTAGTTACTGACTGAGGACCCTTTCCGCTAACTGGTGGTCGCGCTGGTTTCATACTGTAGATTCATACTATAGAGTGGACCTGTTACTGGCATACGGAGATCACTCTTATCTGCACGCGTACAGGCAATATATATATACACAATCTGGGCCTATCGTAGAAACATGCAAGTATATACTTTCAAACATATACGTGTACATGTAGTGCACACACACAAGTATTAATACAAACATAGATAGGCATGCCGACATAATCGTATGCACATGTATGCGCATACCATGGGCACACCTGTTGTTGGCTTTGCACATGCAAGTGCATATACACGCATACGGAATGTTCAGCCCCCCCCCCCCCTGTCACGCCCAGCCGACTGCATCGCCCCTTCTCCTGAGGGTCCCTGGGCGGCTATGACGCCTCCCCGAGGCTCTCTAAGGATTCAATGACGGCCCAGTAAGCCCACCGAGGCCGCCAAGATGGCCCCAGATGCCTCCAAGACGGCCCAAGATGATTCCACGAGGGCCCAACATGGCTCGAAGACAATCCAAGAGGGCCCGATACGCCCAAGGAGGCATCCAAGAGGCCTCCCAAGAAGGCCCCGGATGCACAACTCAATACTTGTCCACTTGTGTTTGATCTGGATTTAGGTGTTCTCGTTTTTGCCTGCTTCCCGACGCTCCAAAACGGCCCAAGATGCATCCAAAATCGCTACAAGGCGGCCCAATAGGCCTCCAAGAAGGCACCAGGACGGCCCAAGAGGGCCACAAGGCTGTCTGAGATGCCTCCCAAACCCTCCAATCGGCCCACGAGATGGCTCCAAGAGGGGGCCCAGGCGGAGGACCCGAACGGAACTTTCGAGTCCTCAGGCCCGAGAGGCCCCCAGGAGGCCGCAAGAGGCCCCCAAGATGCCCCAAGAGGCCCCCGAGATGCCCCAAGAGGCCCCCACGAGACCCCCAAGAGGCCCCCGAGAAGCCCCCAAGAGGCTTCAACACTGCCTCCAACAAGCACTACAGAGGCCTCCCAAGATATCCCAGGCACTGTGGCGGGACTTGCCGTAGGCAGCTGGATAGTCATTTATATCTGCACATTCAAACCACAGAGGCAGCAGCCACCGTGCTGCTGGGCACGCAGTGGGCGTGTCCTCAGGTCTTTGGCCCAATCCCCTGAGCCTTAGTCTTCAGTCCTGAGGAGTCTTTAAGAGGCCTGGACCTCAACTTCTCAAATCCGTCGGTGCTTGCCGCGGTTCTTCTGGGCTGGAGGAAGTGGTGGCGCGTGACATTTTACGGCCCAAGAGGGCCCCCAGACGGGCCACGAGAGCCACAAGAGACCGTCAAGACGGTCCAAGAGAATCCCGAGACGCCGACAGATCGTCCCACGTCGCCCAAGATAACCTCAAGACGGCCCAATGACGCCCAATATACCCTTCGTCGCGTCCCGCCGGCCACCCGACAGGCCCACAAACGAGCACGATGTCCACAAACAAAGCCGCCGAGACGACTCAAGATGGCTTCTAAGATGGTCACGTTGGCCTCAGATGGCCTCCAAGATGGCCCAAGTTGCCTCCAAATTCGCCGAAGAAACCACCAAGACGGCCCAGGATGGCTCCAAGATGCTTCCGAGTCCGCTCAAGAAACCTCCAAGATGGCCCAAGACGGCCCTGGCCTTCCGACAGCCCAAGACGGCCCAAGAGGCCTCAAGATCGCCCCACTATGGCCCCAAAGGCCTCCAAGATCGCCTCATGACGGCTCAAGAAGCCTCGACGACGGCCCCTAAGAGGGCCCCCAGACGGCCCAAGAGGCCTCCCAAACGCCCAAGATGGCGATGGCCTCTGAGACGGCCCTGGAGCACCCAAGAAGACCCCGAGTCGGCCCCGAGAGGCTCCCAAGCCAGCTTCCGACGGCGTCGGACGGACCAGGAGGCCATCAAGACGGCCCAAGGTGGCTCCAAGATGGCCCACGAGGCTTCCAAGAGGGCCCCCCAGGTAGGCCCGAAGATGTGTCTAAATCTTACATTTTCCATCGGTGTTTGAAGAATTCTAGACGCTTCGCGTATCCCCACCAGCCCGTCCAGAAACGACGCCCAGGCGAGTAGAGGGTCGTCCTGAGGGGCTTTTCGGCGTCTTGGGTGCCTCGGGGGGGCCTGTGTGGGCCGTTCGGGATCCTCTTTGGGGCCTCCTGGGGGCCTCTTGGGGCCATCTTGGGGCCTCTTGGGGGTCTCTTGGGGGCCTCCTGGGGGCCTCTTGGGGGGCCTCTTGGGGCCATCTTGGGGCCATCCTGCGGCCTCTTGGGGCATCCTGTGGGCCTCTTGCGGCCATCGTGGAGGAAATCGATCAAAGAAGAGGGGAGCCTTAATTAGCGTTGCCCCCTGAGAAGGCCAAAATGGGGCCAACACCATAATAAAATCAATGTTTTTGGCTTCCTCGCCGAGGCCGTTTTGGACGCTCTGACCGCTCCCCGCCCCTCCTGTCCAGGTCAGTAGGGAGGGGGTAGGGGGAGGGGTAAACCCCTCCCCGAAGGGGACGAGGGAGGGGTGGAAGAGGAAACTCGTTAAACCACCGACGCCCAGAGGGCTGGTGGGATTTTGGCATCTGTTTCTTTTCGGTCTCCCGACGGCGCGAGACGGTCCAGGAGCCCCAAATGATCGCTCAAGATGTCCCCAGAACGGCCCAGGAGGCCCCCAAGACGGCCCAAGGAGCCCCCAAGACGGCCCAAAAGGCCTCCAAGGCGCCCAAGATGGCTTCCTAGACGGCCCTGGAGCACCCCAAGGGGGCCCCAAGTCGGCCCAGAGAGGCCCCCAAGACGGCGTCAGACGGGCCAGGAATGCCCTAACACGGCCAAAGATTCCGAGAAACTCCCCAAGACCCCGAGCAGGCCCAAGGAGGCCCCCCAAATGCCTCCAAGAGGCTCCCAGGAAACTCCCAGGAGGCCCCAAAAGTGCCCCCAGGGGCTCCCAAGATGCCCCCTCCTTTTGTCTCCTCCTCCTGATCTTCCATGCCATCCTCCCCCAAGTGTTCCCCGCAGGGTTTCCACAACGACTGGGGGAACACATGGTCCGATGGCTTGGCAGAGCTCTTGCGACAACGCTCGGCCCCATGGGTGATTCCAGCAGGCAGGGGGCGGCGGTGATTCGCCGCAAGCGTCTTCGATACAACACTGATATCTAGGTACATCTAGATCTCTGGCTCACGGTTGATGACTGTGTATCTGTGAACTGAATTGTGCACCCAGTACGAATCAACTGTTACACCACCCCGAACCTCCTGCTCACCCAAAAGGGTGTCCTGTGTGGAACCCATATCCACGGCATCGCGGTCCGGACTTCCCGGCTCTGAGCCCCCGTGGATAAGCAGAGCGGCTCTGCGCGGACGCCCCGTGCAAAGCGCATCGGGATCGCGCCTCGGAAACCGGGCCGCGGGGGCATGGATGTGGGTCTGCTCGTCGCTCCGCTCGGCTACACGCAAGAGTGACCCCGGGCAGGAGTGACCTGTGGTGCGCGGCTTTTCGGGGGCCGCGGGGAGACCAAACCTGGGCGCGCAAACCGCTGCGACCGCTTCGTGTTCAGCCATCTGAGGGCCCATCTGTGCCCGCGCCAAAGGTCACTCCGGCGAAAGGTCACTCTTACGTCTAGTCGCTCCGCGGGGGTGGGGAGGGGGGCGGCGCTGGACTGGGTCGGCGTGGCGGGGGGGCCCGCCTGCCCCGGTGGAGCCGGAGCTCCTCTTGCGCGCTTTTGAGCCGCTCGGCGGCTCGGGCGCGCGCGGGCAGGCGGCCGCAACGGGGGAAGCCGCCGGCAGCCGTCCCGGCACCAGGGTGCCTGCCTGAGGCGTCCCTGCGCCTGTGTGTATAGGGAGGCGACCGAGGGGCCGTTCCAAGACGGGGTCCGTAGGTAGAGGCGAGGAGTAGGACTCCTTTTCCAGGGCACTGCGCACGGGGCAGTGCTCTGTCAGTACTATTGCCAGTACCTGAGCCGATACCGTTGCGGTATATGATGATCTACTGGAGATGTGAGCGGACTTCACACACAGCGCCCGCAGGATCCCCTGGGTCGCCCGACTTCGCGCCTCGCGCCCCGCGAAGGGCGACGCACGATGATCGTCGTGCCGTCGCACCCCGGCGCCGCCGCCCCCCCCCCCCTCCTGGAAAGGGGCGGCCGCCATGGCCCAGGCCGCGACCCCCCAAGCTTGGCTCTTGAGGGAGGGCGGGGGTGTCGTGCACTCCTCGGAGGCTACACAGAGGACGCCCCTTCCGACATTTCAGCCTCGCCACACAGGACCTGTCTTTCCTCTGTAGTCGTTCTGATGGTCCAGGGTCCGAAGCTCGCCTCGTGAAGGCCCGGGGGCCGAGCCGAGGACGAACCAGGCGTATATTAGTTCCATCGCTTTTGTGTTCCATTCTCCTCCCCATGTTTTCTCAGTGACGTCGAGCCTCTGCGTCCGAGGCCTCCTCCTCTGTGTCCTCCTCTGTGTCCTCCTCGTTTCCACCTGTCTTGCCGTGCCCACAGCGTGGCGCGCCCCGCCGGCTGCTCGAACGCGTGGGCAGCCGCTCGCGCTGCGGACGAGAATGCCTTCTCCTTGATAGGGGGATGTCGTGGGAGAGGGATGGCGGCGGTCGTCGCGGTGGCGCAGGAGGTGGTGGCGGTGCAAGCGGCGGCGGCGGCGGCGGCCGTCGCGTGAGGCGCGCGAGGCAGGAGGGGCGGAGGCAGAGGAGGGTGATCAGGTGAGGGAGGAGGAGGAGGCGGAAGAGGAGGACGTGGAAGAGGAGGAGGGTACCACGAGTAGGCGGCAGAGGAGCGCAGAGGGCGCCCAGAGGAGGGGCCCAGGGGAGGCGATCAAGATGAGGTGGAGGATCCCCCTGCCTGGGTGGGGTGTGGGGGGGGTCAGATAGGCGCTTTAGCTGGCTGGGCGGCTAGACGCTGACACGATGGGGTGCCGAGCCAAGCCTGCCGGGCCAGCCCGGGTCAGAAATGGGCTTAGCCAACGGCCCGAGGGGGCGCTTGCAGCCAGGGGGCCAAGGCAGGGGGATGGTGGAGGCTGCGGAGGCGGCGGAACCTGAGGTCGGCGAGGCGGCGGCGGCGGCCAGGAGGTCGAGGAGGAGGAGACGACGGAGGACGAGGAGAGGAGGACGACGACGAGGTCAGGGCTGGCTTGCCGCGCGGGCGCGGGCTGCCTGCCTAAGCAGCTGGGGTGGAGGCGGCCGGCCAGGCAGGAGGAGCGCGGCTGGGAGGACGCAAGGAGGCGGCGAGGAGGGGCAACAGGGCACCCTGGAGTGGCTGGGAGGAGGCGGCCATGATGATGATGATGATGATGATGATGATGATGATGATGATGATGATGATGATGATGATGATGATGATGATGATGATGATGATGATGATGATGAGGAGGAGAGGAGGAGGAGGAGGAGGAGGAGGAGGAGGAGGAGGAGGAGGAGGAGGAGGAGGAGGAGGAGGAGGAGGAGGAGGAGGAGGAGGACACACAGGAGGCGGAGGCCACGGCCAGGATGCGGCTGGAGATGAACGGCAGCGTCATGGCCTCCGTGGCGAAGACCTTCCAGGACGAGTTATCAGGGCGCCACCGGGGGCCTACAGACAAGCTGTTCAGGAAACCTTCTCTAATGAGCTTGGGGCCTGAGGGCGACGCGGGAAGAATATGGAACCCCCCACAACGGCACGAAGGCAACACGTCGGAGGTCCGCGCAGATCTCTTGGGTCTGGCGCTGGACGCCCCTACCTCCACGCACCCTCTCCGGCGCGCGGAGCGCGCCCGGGGCGGAACCAGAGGCGCCGCCCCAGGGTGTGGTGGGGAGGGGAAATTCACCGCCGACCCAAGAAATCCACACGCAACTCCGGAAGTTGATGATCATGTCGTTTTTGGTTCTCGGCCAAGGTCGATGGTCAGGTCTCTGGAGGCCCCCCCCCACGCCTCGGGAGGTTCCCCCGGGGCCTCCAGAGGCCAGCGGGTGCACCTGGATACCCAAGAGGGGCCCCAAACGTCGAAAAACTTACGCACATCCTCAATCCTCGTCTATCCTCGATCCTCGAGGGCTGGGGCTGGATCTCGCCTCGTCCCGCTGCGTTTCGGGCCGCCCCCGAGCGGGGACCGCCGCATGACGGGCAGCGCACGGAAAACGGGGCTGCCTGCGGCGGGCAGCGGGCAGCATGGGAAGACGCCGAGCCGGCGCTCGCCTCCAGGCGAGGGAGAGGGGGAGGTCGAGGAGGGGAGGGGGAGGTCGAGGGGGGGGTGGGGCGGAGGGAGGTCGAGGGGAGGGGGGGAGGTCTCGGGGGGGGGGAGTCGGAGGGGGGGGGGGGGGGAGGAGGTCGGGGGGAGGTCGAGGGGGGAGGGGGGGGGCGGAGGGAGGGGGCAGGAGTCGGGGGCTCAGGCGCCCGAGCCCCTTCGCCTGCGACTTCGTCCTCGGCGGGCTCGGCGTCGGCGCCCGAGCCCCCATCGCCGGGCGGCTTAAGGGGCCAGAGAGCCACGCAGACGCGCAGCACGTGAGCAGGCGGCGGAGCTCCGCTCGATGACCCTCAGGACGCGTGTTGGCGCCGGCGTGTGCTGTCCCACCGATGCTCTTCAATGCGGCGAAGGTGCTGCCAGTGGCCGACGCAGGCCGAGCAGGGCAACACACACACACACACACACGCACGCACACGCACGTTGGGCTAACACAAGTCCTGAGGATCATCGATCCGCCAGCGCCGAACCCCGTCCTGTATCCTGAGGGGACAGACGTTCGGGGGGACATCCTGCCCAGCGAGGAGACATCGACCTCGCATCGGCGATGCATATCGCCGATAGACTTATGTTGCTCCCATCGCACTTAAGCTCCACATCCCAGAACTAAATTTGAGCACCCAGACAAGTATCGAAGCAGTGTCGGACGAGTGTCGCCTCCCAGGGCCCGACACGTGAATACCCCCGAGGTTCGGTGCCTTCCTGGTGCTCGAGATATGTGTCTGGTGACCCAAGCTAAAGCAGGTTGGAACAGCATAGCGATAGACCAGCGGCAGGCCCCCGACAGCGACACCGCACGCTCCTGGGAGGGGCGGGCCATCTCACGGGCCACTGTCGGCGCTCTGTGGGCGACTGGAGGTCGAGGCGATGCCGCGATGCCCCCTGCGCCGCCTGAGCCTGCCCCCCCCCCCGCCCCCTGTCGCTGCCCCTGACCCCCCCCTTCCTCTCCTCCTCCTCCTCCTCCTCCTCCTCTCCCCTCCCCTCCTCCTCCTCTTCCCCTCCCCCTCCTCCTCTCCTCTCTCCTCCTCCTCCTCCTCCTCTCCTCCTCCTCCCCCTTCCCCCTCCTCTTCCCCCTTCCCCTCCTCCTCCTCCTCCTCCTCCTCCTCCTCCTCCTCCTCTTCCCCCTCCCCCTCCTCCTCCTCCTCCTCCTCCTCCTCCTCCTTCTCCTCCTCCTCCTCCTCCTCCTCCTCCTCCTCCTCCTCCTGCCCCTCCTCCTCTTCCTCCTCCTCCTCCTTCTCCTCCTCCTCCTGCTCCACCTCTTCGAACTCTCCTCCTCCCCCTCCTCCTCATCGGCGCCCAAACGCGTCGGCAAGCGCAGCGGGAGGGCCAGGCCGGCTCCTGGGAAACCGGCCAGGCACCGATACAGTGAGCCCGTGTATGCGAAAGATGCACGGCAAGGATGCAAGGGCTTCGGAGGGCCACGCCAACGTTTTTCGAGCGAGGCTGGTCAGCGCAAGCTACCGAGGATGGGTCGAGGGGACGAGGATGCAAAGGTGGCCTTGGAAAATCGCTCATCCCTCCTATGTTTGGTGCCCGAGTTAACTGGGGTAACTCGGGTCCGGGGTAACTCGGGTTTGGATCCCCGCAAAAACTAACCCGAGTTAGTCCTGCCCTGAGTTACCCCTGATGATTTGAAGCTCTGGACGCCCGAATTACCCGGGGTAACTCGGGCCCGGGGTAACTTGGGTTCGCAATCCTGAAAAACGAACCCGAGTGAGCCCTGACCCAAGCTACCCCTGATGATTCGGGGCTCTGACTATGCGGGCTCACTGCACCGTGACTCCCCGGACCTCTCCCCGGGCGCGCTCCGACCGGGACCTCGAGGCGAACCCGGCCGTGACGAAGAGAGGGCCTCCCGCAGGGGGGGGGGGGGGGCAAACGGGCCAAGACGAGGCAAGGGTATAGTGGCGTCGGTGCACCTCGAGCCTCCTCCCCCCCCTCGCGCTGCCAGTTGCCAGTCTCTCCCCGAGGCGCGTGGGGGAAGGCGCCCCGCCCCGGGGGAACTCCTGGGCGGAGGGCGCACCCCGCGGCCTCGCGGGCTGGGCCCCTGGGCCGCGACCCCGGGGATGCGGGGCGCTCACTCGCGGATGCCATGCGCGGAACGTCGCCGTGCGACCGCATGCCCAGCATCCGCGGGGTCGCGCCCTGCAAGGGCGCGGATACGGGTATGTTCGCCGCTCGTGAGAGGCGGGCGGAGATGTTTGGCGGCGCGCACCAGCGGGTATGGGGGAGGGGGGTAGGCTTCTTTGAAGGGGGCTGCTTCTTCGAAGGCGCCTGCCCCACATCCACAGACAAGGCCCCCGCGCCTCCTAAGAAGCAGCCTCCACCTATGAAGCCCTCCCCCCTCCCCCCTGACCCCCCTCTGCGCGTGGCCGAGGTGCACCGCCTGTGGACGTCCCATGCGCCTGCTCGTGTGCTCTCCGGCCCTCTTCGGCAGGCCTGCTGTGTCTCGCCTGCTGGCGCTGGCGCTCGTCACTCTTGCCTCGCCTGGCCATGCGGCCAGCTCGCGCACGAGCGCTCGAAAATCGCGGCACCGCTCTGCGTCCACCGACGCGCGGGCCCGCCAGGTCGCGAGGGCGACGGCCCTACAGTGCCCTACAGCTATAGATAATTGAGGCCCGCGCCTGCTGAGGCCGCGACCCCGCGGACACGGGGCGCTCTGGGCTACCCCGCGGCGGGGCGGCCCCGCAGCAGGTCCGCCTTCATGCCGGGGGAGAACGGCACGGGCCCGAACCAGACGGACAGGATGGCCTCCGCGGCCCGCGCGCCGCAGTGCAGCCGGCCCAGCCGCACCCAGCCGCTGCCACCGGGCGCCTCCGCCTGTCGGGGGAGGAAGAGGTATCCATACAAGCTTCCAAAAAAGGTAGAAGAAGAGATATCCATATGAGGTATCCATACAAGAGGAATAGGTATCCGCCTCGGACAAACATAAAAGGTATCCATATAAGCTTCGGGCAAGAGAACAGCGAGCACTCTTGCCACATTCTCACCGGGGATCTGTCGACTCCTACCCAGGCTTCGTGGGGATTTCGAGTGGACCAGAAATTTTGGGCCCAACTCTGGGATCCACGATGGGGGGGCGTCCATCCTCGATAGGGGTGCGTCCGAATAGCCACCTGGGGGTGTGTCCCAGGGCTTCCCTCCTTTTCTGAGAGGTTTCATTTTTCGTCGACAAGTCAGGGGCTGGGGGGAAAATCGCCTGCGACATTCATTTGTCAACGCCTCCCCCTCCCCCCAATGTTTAAAGTTGGCGGTGGGTCTGACGAGTCGCACTTCGACCGCAATCTCCTCCGCGCGTGCCAACTTTGAGATTTGGGGAGGCGGGGGGAGTGTACGATGATTGTTTCCCTCCACCGTACCTCTGCGGCGAGCGCGAGGGGGACGTGAGAAGGAGCAGGCCTTCTCAGAAGGCGGCGGGGCTTCTCAGAAGCCCTCCGGCCTCCAGAGAAGTTTCCCGTGCCTTCGGGGACGGCTTAGACAACTTCTCAGAAGGCCGTTGGACTTCTGAGCCTTCTGAGAAGGCCCGCCCCCTCTGACTTCTCCCCCGGACTGGCAGCCGAATGCAGCTACCGTTCGTTTTCCCCTTTTGGGGCCTTCTGGGAGGCCCTCGTCGCCACGGCCAGATTCGCACCCCGAGAGAGGTCCGGGGAGTCGCGGCATCGGTGCCTTTCGACTTCCCCAGCCTGGGCGTCTCCGCGCCAAGCCTGCAGCGTCAAGGTCCCGGCCCTCCCGCAATAGTCAAGCCGGTACCTGCTCGGTGCGATCGACGTGAGCACGGAACGAGTGGGCACGACGAGCGACCGCAATACCTGTCCATTTTGAGCCGGGTTCGCTGTCGGCGTCGCCGCCTGTCCAACAGCGGCCGCGGTCGGTTTTGGGCAACCTTTGTTGCTGGGCGTCGTGCCCGTTCTCTCCGTACCCCGTTCGGGCGTCCACACCTGTGGCCCGGCGACATGCCCACGTAGAAGGCGTTGAAGGCCTCGACGAAGGGCTCCACGGCCGGGCTGAGCAGGCCGTTCGCGGAGACGTAGTGGGAGGTGAGGTACCGGAACGCGTCCGCCGGCACCGCCTGCGCGTAGCGCAGCTCCAGGGACTTCGTCACCCGGGCGTCCAGGCCCTCCTCGTTGGAGCCGCGCAGCGGCGGCAGGTAGAGCGCGGCCTGCGCGAGGGTGATGCGGGCCATGCGCAGCACGGCGGTCCCCGCCACCTCCAGCCGCTGCTCGCCCCCGTCCTCCGCCCGGAGGACGCGCTGCCTCTGGAAGGGGAAGCCGCCCACCAGCAGTTCCGCGCCCTCCGAGGGCGCCGGGCCGGCGGTGGGCTCCTCGGCGCCCTCCGGGGCGCCGAGGAGGGCCTCCTCGCAGCGCGCGGCGCCGCGCTCCCCGGGCGCCCACGGTCGCGGGCACCCGAGGCCGGCGGCCGCGCAGGCGCCCGCGCCCGCGGCGGCGCGCAGCAGCGCCCTCGCGGCCGCCGCGGCCGCGTCCTCGGCGGCGCGGCCGCCGCCGCGGCGCGGGCCGGCGGAGGCGCCGCGCGGCGCGCGGCGCCCGGCAGCGCCGCCGCCGCGACCCGCGGCCCCGCGGCCGCTCCGCGGCGCGGCCGGCGACCGCGGGCGCGGCGGAGGCGCCGCCGAGGCCGAGGGGGCACCCGCTGGGCGGGGCGGGGCCCAGCGCGGCCCGCGCGGCGCGGGCGAGGAGGGCGCCGGCCGCGGGCCCGGCCCGCGCCGCGGCCATCGCTGCGCCCTCTCTACCAGGGGGGGGGAGGAGCTGTGGGGGGGGATCGGCCCTGAGGTCCTGGCCCTGGCGTCGCCGGGCTGGCGCGCGGGGGGGCCTGCCGTGCGCCCCACGTCGGGCCTATGGGGGCCCTCGCGGGCCGATGCGGGCTCGAGGGAGGCCGCAGGCAGGTGGGGACGAGGGCTCCGGGCGCGATGTGTCGCAGTGCCTTTTTCGCGCCCGTTCCCAAGCACCCTGTCGCTCCCCCCGCAGAGGTCGGACGGCACGAACCAAACAGACGCTGCGAAACATCACGCCGGGAGCCCGCGTCCCCATCGGTCTGCGGCCACTCTCGAGCTGGACTGGTCCATGAGGGCCACATGCGGACAGAAACACCCGACCTCTGGGGGGGCGGCGAAAGTGGGCAAACCCAAAGGTACCGATGCCGATATTCCATGGACCTCTCCCGGGTGCGTTCTGACCAGAATTTCGGGACGACTCCAGCGGTGGCGACGAGGGCCTCCCAGGAGGGGCCCCAGAAGGGGCGAAGGCGCTGAGGGTAGCAGGGGCATGGGCAGCTTCCCTAAGCTCCGAAGCTGCCACACTTGGCAGCATCGCAGCAAATCATGAGCGGACCCCCAGGCCCCAGCTGCGCCCCAGGGCGCTTTCTGCCTGAAGCGACCCCCCTTTCACCTGCTGCGTTTCGGGGCGCCGCCGGGCCCCGTCAGAGACCTCTTCTTCGGGAGCCCACGGGGCTGGTTTGGGGGGGCCTCTCGGGGCCCCCTTCTGCGCTGATCTCCTCAGTCCTTCCGGCCACTTTGGGCCGCTCCGGATGCCTCCGCCTCTCTTCGAGTCATATGCGCCAGGAAGTCCCAACGATCAGAGGACAAGGTAAAACGCACAAGCTTTTGGCGACTCGGGCCTTCTCGGGCTTCTCTTTGCGCCTCTGTTGGAGCTCCCGTGCATCTTCGTGGGCTCCTGCGGCCATCTTGGACCCAGCGGATGCTCTCTCTGGCCGTCCTGACAACCTCTCGGACCCATCTTGGGCCGTCTGGTCACCATTTTGGCGCCCTCTTCAGCCGTCTTGGGCGCGCCCAGGGGGTCCCTGGAGGCCCCTTTGAGGCCCCAGAACAATTTTTTGGGGACCTCTCCATATCCCTCTTCAGTTTCGTTCGCAATTTGTCGATACCTTCGGGTGCCCTTTTGGGGTGCTGTCGCAGCCTCTTGGGGCCCTCGTGGGCAATTGTTGAAAATTTTGGGGGGCTCTCTGGCGCGCCGTTTTGGCCCCCTCAAACCCACGAAATCCACGATCCCAGAAAGGTGGGGCGGCAGTGTCTGCCCCCTGAGGGGCGTTCAATCGAATAATGCTCCCTGTCGTACCACCAGGCGTGTCGTTAGAGCGGGCCAGGCGGTTCGCCTGAGACTCCATCACCGCCGTTTACGATCGTAGAGTTTTTTAACTCCAGGCTGATGCACAAAAGTAGGGCGGCCCGTGTATCTAAAAATGGCCCCCTCGCGTTGACGCCAGAAACACACACCCACACGCAGGCACACACAGACACACACACACAGACACACACACACAGATACACACAGACACACACACACAGAGACACACAAACCACACAGACACACACAGACACACATATAGACACACACAGACACACCACACACAGACACACCACACACAGACGCACCACACACAGACGCACCACACACAGACACACCACACACAGACGCACCACACACAGACACACCACACACAGACACACCACACACAGACACACCACACACACAGACACAGAGACACAGAGACACAGAGACACAGAAACTCAGAGGCACAGAAACACAGAAACACAGAGACACACAGACACAGAGACACAGAGGCACAGAGACACAGAGACACAGAGGCACAGGGACACAGAGGCACAGAGACACACAAGCACACAGGCAGACAGGCATACAGACACACAGACACACAGACACACAGACACCCAGACACCCACACCCACACCCACATCCACACCGACACCCACACCTACCCACGCACACACACGCACACTCACGCGCACGCCCACGCACACGCACACACGGACACGCACACGCACACGCACACACACACGCACACGGACACGGACACGGACACGGACACGGACACGGACACGGACACGGACACAGACACAGACACAGACACAGACACAGACACAGGCACAGGCACAGACACAGACACAGACACAGACACAGACACAGACACAGACACAGACACAGACACAGACACAAACACAGACACAGACACAGACACGAACACGAACACGAACACGAACACGAACACGAACACGAACACGAACACGAACACAAACACGAACACGAACACGAACACGA